AGTTACAAATTTTTTATGTTAAGGTCTGGTTACAGATACAAAGCCATAAGCTATGTGTAGAACTCTGTGCTCAAGTTCTTTGGCTGTGTGAGTTTCAACTTACTAGTTTGAATTTTGACTTTATTTTTCTTTCTTTCAGCTGATTGGTCAATGTCATGTCAATCACAAATTTAACATTCCAATCAGAGAACAGATTGTGTTTGAAGGGGTGCTTTACTGAGCTTCAGGTCCTGGAAGGGTAATACAGTTTGAAGCTGGAGGATCTCTATATGAATATCCCATAAGGTTCATACAAGCTAGGTCTCTTAACTTTCAATAACTGTTGAAAGGATAATTTTGTGCTATACCAGAAATATCTGGTATAGCACCAGATATTTTACTTTAGTATGACTTTAACACAAAGTCAGGGCTGACCAGGGACCATTGCTGTGAGTCACACTGAGCAGAATAAAGACCCTTTCACAACGGAGGCACTCATGGCTAACTAAAGCTGGGCACACACTGTACAATTTCTGGCCCATTTTGAGCCGTTTTTCAGTCGTGCAACCGTTTTGGGGATGGGCCTGAATTTCGCCTTAATCGTGTGTTGTGTAGTATACATTTGGTAACGAGAAGCGACTAACACCTCACAACCAGGTCCCGATCATCAATGGTCACAAGAAAATCAAACCTGTTCGAAATCCTGTCGCCCCTCGTGAGGGTGTCAACGCAGCCTCTCACACTGCACACGCACAAACAGAAACGAAAGTGGAAAGACGTAGTAGCACGACAGTGCAGCGCGTGATCTGGACACGGGCGATAGAGGCACAACTTGAAAAACTTTGGCAAGCTCATCTGAGCATTTCAATATGGCCTCACAAAATTATCACGACCACAACAACTGTGAAAAGAGTTGGATGGACATTGCTGCTCAATTGCAGCCTGGTCGATGTTTTTCATTAGTAATTTAGCAAAGTTGATGGTGGTGGTGTACATGTACAAATCCCGAAGCACGTAAAAACTCCATAACACGTAAAAACTCCATAACACGTAAAAACTCCATAGCACGTACAATCTCCGAAGCACATACAAACACAACAGAAGTGCTCCAGGATGCTAGGCGCAGTGTTGAGCTTTTGTTACCTACTGGCTACACAAGTCAGGAAGTACTGACGACCGGATTTGGTGTGTGGTAGTAACAGGTAAATGAAATTTACTTTTCAATTATTTGAATATATATGAGTGCCTGTGTATAAATACACAAACAATACACATATGCTTTCAATTGTGTAATTTTAGTGATCTAGGTAGCTCTGTTTTGGAAGTTCAGTTAACGCTAGAAATGCATTTTGGAGTTTGTACGTGCTTTGTCTCTAGGGGCCACCGTATATATTTATTTATAAACATATATAAATAAAACCGCGTTTTTTTTTTTACATTAGTAATTCATTCTGTGCATAATTTTATATTGTTCTTAATAACAAATTAATTTAAGCAACAAAACAATCTGAAGATCCGGTTGGGAGTCGAAAGACCCGGCTCTTTTTAGTGAGCCGAGCCGAAAGAGCCGGTTCTCTAAAAAGAGCCGGAAATCCCATCACTAGAACCTGCTTGTCTTTTCAAAACATGTCTCTCTCTGACATTATAACCTCTACAAGAGTTTGTGTTGTATTATCTTCAAATGTTCAATAAAAACATGAATCGCTCATTCATAAAAAAGAAAGCTTTGTAACTATCCCAACTAGTGAAGAGTGTGTCATTTCCACAACACTACTCCCCCCCCCCAAGGTCCACTGGGTATTTGAAAATGTGAAAAGGCTCTGAAGCTCCCCGTATTAGCATGAAGACCTGTGACAAAAAATTCACCAAACTCAGACACGCATAGCATGTTTTCCTTCGTGGTGCGAAGACCTGGAGGTCAGTAAAGCACCCCTCCACAGCCAAACCCATCTGTTCTCTGATTGGATTGTTAAGTTTGTGATTGACACAACATTGACCAATCAGCTGAAAGGAAGAAAAAATTGGGTCAAAATTCGTACTTCTAATTTGAAAGTCACACACAAGCAGGGTACATGAGCTCAGAGTTTTTTGCTTTGTATCTGTAACCAGACCTTAACCAAAAAAAATGTAACTTGTGTAAATCTTCTTTTACACACACACAAATTCTAATCTATAGATGCACAAACATAAAAATTTCAGATATTTTTGTTGACAAGGTTACAAAACTCAGTTCACAACTACGCATTTCATTTACAAGTACAAAATATTTATGACCACAATTTGAGCCCATATATTTCCAGGAATATAGCTGCCGTTTTCGGTTAACATCCCGTGTTTGAGTGCCTTGTTTAGGTCCAACATCCTGCCACACAGGTGTACATTGCCATTTACACTACACGAGCATTTTTATTATGATTATTTTGTTTGTTGGTATAAGTGGTTTAAATAATCTGACCAAGTGTGATACTTCATCCACCCATCCACCCATCCATTCGCTTCCGCTTATCCTTTTCAGGGTCGCGGGGGGCGCTGGAGCCTATCCCAGCTGTCATAGGGCGAGAGGCAGGGTACACCCTGGACAGGTCGCCAGTCTGTCGCAGGGCTGTGATACTTCATCATTTTTTTATTTTTATTTTTTTTTAAAAGCTACTGGCTCACATGGCTCTGTATTTTTATTTTTTTGCTAGCAAAGAACCAAGCATGTGAGACGACGGTTTTAAAAGACTGGACCGTGCAAATTTTAATTATTGTTATTATTTTCATTTTGCAAAAAAGGCTGTTTTTAAAAAAATCTTTCTGCTGACTTCATGCTGATAAGGAATAAATTGAGTATTACAGCGACGGTGAATAAACAGAAACAGATTTCATGGTCAACTCTGCTTCTTTTTCAGGATCACAATACACAACAAAGGAAATTTATGGCCACCTGGACTTAGAACACAAAAGTTGATGTTTAATTATCAGCTTTTAAAATGACTATTGCTGCCATAATACCGTTGATTACTGATTGATTAATATTGTCAGATTTAAACACTAGTTTTTCAAAAAGCAACTCGTGCAAAAAAAGGAAAAGAAAAACATGTACTACGTGTAGGTTTAAGGAACACACGCATTACACAGAAATTAGGAGATGTCACAAAGACCATTTTGCTAAGAACTGTTTTATCCTACTTACCCTGAAGATCTGCAACAACAACAGCACAGAGGAATGAAGCGGATACCAAGAAGAAGAAATTGTGCTTTGCATGCAACTCCATGGTCAGCTCTGTGGATTGCGAAACTCCGCGGATTTTTCAAGAAGCGCAGAACAAAGAGACAGAGGAAGTGCGTCCTCATATGAAGGTTTCTTCTTTTCTCTTTGACAAAGAGGAAAGGGTAGTGTCTCCAGCAAGATATGACGTCATTCAGTGTGACGCCAAACCATAACGGGACTAAAGTCCAATCTACAGTCTAAACTTCCAGAACACTTTCTGCTTCGGATGTCCCGCCTACTTCGCCGCTAATTCACAACTTTGTCTTGCAATCCTTTTTTTCGTCTGCCTGTCTGAAAAGCTCAAAATGTGAATTTGGTTACAAGTTTATTCATATGAGCGCATGCTTGTGTCACAGGCTCTTGAACTATGATACAGTAATTAATACAAGTGCAGTTGTTTTTGCTTGCATTGCATTTCTCATGACCCACACAGACACAGAGGTGTTGACACAGTTGCTCGGGAGGACTTCTGAAGGTTGAATGCACACAAGAGAAAATGTAAGAAAAAAATATGAAAAAACGCATGTTGCATCTCAAAGGATATTTGAGGGAATGGAGTGGTAAGTTTTCAGGTAATACTAGCAATTTGTGGGGACTTTAATATTGACTTATTGAATCCAAATCATAATAAGAGTACAGAAGAATTTATTGATTCCATGTACAGCATCGGTTTATTTCCACTGATAACAAGACCGACCAGAATAACATCTCATTGTGCAACTCTATTAGATAATATATTTACAAATATAATAGAAGGAAAGATAAAAAG